GGAAGTTTGTTCTTAATTTGTCAAATAAAGAACTCAAAATTTGCTCTTAAATTTTTGTAAAAAGGAATTTTTTCTTTCTTTGGAAATTGAAAAATAGAATTTGAGTGCTTTATTTGGGACAAATGAAAAACAAAATTCTCCTCGATTTTTCAGCTCTTTGAAAAACTGAAGAACACTTTTTTTTTAGATTGTATTTAACACAAGAAGGACAAAAAAGAAAACTTGTTTGAACTTTACATGTAGACCAATTCAAATACTTCCGATTAGATGTTGACAGACTTCTTTCTTTGAGTACGATTTTCAACTTGTTGAATTGAATCAATTGAAAAAAACAAGACCGAAGAAGAAAAGATAATTTTTTTCCACGATTTTTAACCACACTGTAAAAAATAGTCGTTGATTAATAAACTATCAAAAAGGATTTATTGAGACCAATAAACCCTTTTTGATAGTTTATTAATCTACGACTATTTTTTACAGTGCAGTTGTAACAAATTTCAATAACTCCGAAAATACTTTTAGACAAATTGTTTCTTTAATCATTTACAAATTTTATAGAAACAGGTTCTGCAAATAAGAAACAATTATGAAACGGTGACGAACAAATATTAAAATTTTTCAAAAAAATAAGTCATTATTAACTGCATGGTCAAAACTTAAGTAGAAACGTTAAATTTTTATTAATAAGTATATACGTAATAACAATTTAAGCGCAACAGAACAAAACCTCGTTATTGTTAGCTGAGATAGCAATATGGGTCGTTCGCAATATCGCATTCAATGAACTTTGACTCTCTAAAACTTCGTCACAGGAAACTGTGTTCTACCGTTTTATTAATCGCGTTGTTTTTTGTTTTTATTACGTACGAATACAATCTATCGACAATGTTACACGCTAATTCTATCAACGTAAAACCCAAACAACATAAAATCTCAAATAATTCCAAAATTAGAATAGCTTATTATACACCAATGTTAGGAAATCGTATTGATTCATCATCAACAGAAAAGATATTTAATCAAAATTTTAAAAAAGTATGTGAAATGATCGATCCCGAAGATTTTTCAATGGCAAACATCGTCATTGTTAGTATGCCAGATTTAAAACGATTACCAGAACGCGATTATAGGACTCATAGAAAGGAACAACTATGGCTATTTTATACTGAAGAATCACCACATAATACATACAAATATTATGTTAAAAATAACCCGAAACAATTGTTTAATACAACAATATTTGATGATTGGTTTAATTTAACGAGTACTTTGAAACCGGAGTCGGATTTTCATATACAATACAAAGGTTATCGTATTAAGCAAGAAATAGTTGTTTTATTAAAAGATAAATTAAACTATTCTTTGCCATCGTTAGTATCAAACGAATCTTCCCTTACTGTAAATTTATCTCTCTCCAATCTAACTATCCTCTCGAACGTGTTAATTTCTGAAATATATGCGCGACAAGATGCATTAAAAAGTAATTGTCCACATGGATGTAATCGTCAATTATCAGAACAAATATATGAGAGGTTACAGAAATATTTACCATCTCTTGATTATACAACGGAGAAAACAAAATTGATTGCCTGGTTTGTTAGTAATTGTAACACTCACTCAAGAAGAGAAGAATATGTGAATGAATTAAAAAAACATGTACCAGTAGACATCTACGGCGATTGCTCATGGCATCTGAAACGACGATATGAATGTACAAAATGGATCAATAAACCAGAAAATTGTACAAAAAAATTATTAAAACAATATAAATTCTATCTATCGTTTGAAAATAGTCAATGTGATACATACATAACAGAAAAATTTTGGTCACATGGCTTAGGATATAATGGACAAATTGCTATTGTGCCAATTGTTTCAGGAGCTAAAAAGGAACAATATGAGAAAATATCTATAAACAATTCATTCATTCATGTTGATGATTTTAAGACATCAAAAGAACTTGCTAATTATCTTCTCTATTTGGATAAGAATAACACAGCATATAATAAATATCTAGCATGGAAATCAGTGTACGATATAGAAGATCATTATTCGCCTACAAGAGATATGCATTCATCAGTATGTTTACTAGGACACTATCAACGTTTACATGATCAACAAACAAGAAATGCACAAGAACATAATCAATATTTGATGAATAAAATAAAAAGGATATTTTCTATCGATGAAATTAATTTGAAAAATTTTAATTGGGAAACAAGTAAAACAAACTTAATACGTATTAGTCAATTTTATTCTATAAAAACATGTTGGGATATCGGCTATCCAAATCTTCTTCAAAGGTTTTATAACTTCTTTTTTACATGGAATTAGCAAATCTATTGTGATTATATGTTTTAGTTTCGCTCAGATCGTGATACGTATTCACTATTTTTTAATGATTTCGAATTAAAAAAAACATAATACTATCCCAAACACTACAAATGTTCATAAACTGCTTTCCGAACGATCAGAATGTCACTGGAAATAGCCCATTGAGTACCCATCTCTGGATGTAAGCGTCTTTCTCTTATTAAAAAAGCATAATTGTTTAGAAAACACTACCTTTTCGACGAACTGTAATGAAACATATTTTTTTCAATGCCTGTTCCTCGCAATCTTTGTGAGTGATCGTTTTTAACCAAATCTGAGATCAGTTAGGAGCAAAACGCCGAAAAACCAGTGAAATTTTGACTAAAGTTTTTCTACTATTTTGTGGGCGATTAATTAATCCCGAATTTGGCCTGAATGCGCGTTTCATCAAACTGATCATTAATTGTCTGGCGTTTTCTTTTATTATTTACCGAAGAACTTCAATTTTCCCGTACTGCACAAACCACATGTTGTGCACAGAAAAGAAAACAACAAATGTTGGATATAATACGAACGAAAGAAAAATGATGTTTTCTATAACAATAAAAAAAAGAAAACCAACGAAACGATATTTCTTTTGGTGTTGGTATGATTGTTGATGATGATAATGGTTTGTTTGTTATATCTGAATTTATTTCTTTTTGGCATCTTTGACTTGTGATTTCTTTGTACCACGTACTTTTTTCATACGATTTTTTCTTTCTTTACGTTGTTTGCGCGCCGTTTTCTTCACTTCTAATAGGCCATGTCTAATTTGACGATATTTTGGTTCAAATTTTTTAGCAAAATCTAACGTATCATAAATCAATGCAAATCCTGTTGATTTTCCACCACCAAAATTTGTTCGAAAACCAAAACAAAATACGACATCAGGTGTTGTTTTATATAACTGAGCAACTTTTTCACGAATATCTTTTTTTGATAATGATGCACGATCAGGATGTAAAACATCGACAACCATTTGTCGTCGGCATAATAAACGATTTGATTTAAACTTTCTTGTACGTATCGTACATGCTGAATCAGACATATCTTTAATCGGCTAAAATATCTAAAATAATAAACAGACAAAAATTAAGCTAGAACAAGAGAACCTAAACGATATCTTTTTACATCAGTAAGAATACCAAATTTATTAGAGAAATTGGTACATTTCTTCTCATCTTCCATTGCTGTATTAAGTGAAGTTAAGAAAAAGGATACCGAAGCTGCTGCTATTTTTAGTCGCGGAGGTAATACAGCATTAACTCCGTCTTTAAAATAAAAGAAAGTGAATGAATTTGCGCTACTAATTCAGTATGATCGCTCATGTAAATTAAATAATAAAAAATATATACAATTAACACATAGTAGTAACAAAGTCGATTATACAAGTTCAATCGTTGTGCAGCATATAGACTAGAAACAGTAAATTTAGTTATGTAGTGTACTGCAAAAATGAATTCATGTAATCGGGTCACTACTTATACAAAACTGAATTTGTATCCTTCTATAGTTTTAACAAATTTAGAATAATATAATGAGACTTCTGTGCTTGTATTTTAAAAGAATAAAGTCTGTCTCGTATAACAATCACAACGAAAGTTTATGAAAGCACTATAGAGTTAAAGATAAATTTTATATTTTGTCAAATATGTCAAGAAACGTAAGATAAACTGAAATCATAAAGGGCCTTAAACTAACCAATATTATAAAATTTGGAGTCAAACATTAACAGTCGTGTAGACATTTCGATCAAGGACTACAATTAGACAGAGAAGAAGCGTTAGAGCTAAGTGAAATATAAGATTTAGACTTACATTGAGGCTTAACTCGTTGAACATTGAACAAGTGACTTATGAAGTATTGAAGAAAAAAAATAGAAGAAAAGGTTGGAAAGTATACACAGCCACAATCTCTAATAAATATTGGTATTCTTACTGATGTAAAAAGATATCGTTT